CTGGGCTCTGCAAGCAGAACAAAGTGTAACTTCATATACAGAGTGCTAATTCCTCTTTACATTGTATAGTACACCATTCACGTACAGCAAACGACTTCTGCCACAGTTTTAATCCTAGATGTGGTCACAGTGACAATGCACTATTATTTGCAGATTTTCTCTTTCGCCCAAACATATTTTTCGCATTAAAGTCTTACCCCGCTTGTGTTATACGTGCCGCTGCTTGACTCTCGTGTTCTCATGTCTATTCTGTCGGTTAGAGTACTATCGCACATACTGCGGAATGACCTTAAGACATACTGACTTCTTCCTATTGGTTGTTCGCCTTCACTTGCTATTCTTTCCAATCTGGAGCAAGGATGCATTTATTCCGCATACCGTACTAATTATCCATGCTCATTTCAATACCCTACTTGCATTTTTCACATTATTTAAATTAGGCTTCCACTTTGTCAGGAACGTCAATTCCAGGCATACCCTACAAGCGCCATTTACGCCTCCACTCATCAGCCCACCCGCATAGCCCATATTACCACCGGTCCCGTAAGACAGGTAGCTGGGAGTTTTCGGTACCGGGAGGGCTACCAAATACCATCTAACCTAACGCCGGACGACCGATGAGGATTCATGCGCCAGATAGGACCGACTGATGACCAGAAGCGGCCATCACAATCCAGAGTATAATAGATGTGGTAACTCAGTAACCGTTAATGAATTTTCAACTCAAAAAGATTACTTGAACAGGGTTGTAATATTCATCACCATGCAGCATGATTCCAAGATATTTCAGTTACTTCGGGATGCCGGATTTTGAGCGAACTTCTTTCTGACCACCAGCAAAACTACGCTGTGTAAAAAATGACTACTTATACAGCATACATTTTCCTCATTGATTTTCGATGCCCTTAAATATTCAATAATATTTCATAGAAAAAATGCGAAAAAATATCCATTATTTCATTCACATGGAAGGAAATTGCGTTTGCTTTAAATTTTATACTTGGACAAAGGGTGTAATTCGGTTTTCGAACAGTTTCTAATTATGAGATTTTTATGATCGAGAAATGTCCGTTCATGTGACATAGTGTCTCTGCATTTACCAATGTTGCTTGTAAAGTTTACAATATGGCTAAAATCCACTGCTACATTTTATGAACCCCATATAGTCGCCTCTTAGTGGCGTATAAAAATCTATGAGTTTCCGTACACGGAAAATATGCAGCCTGTGGTTTTGAAACCCTGAACGAAAGCTTAGCGGCAGGCCAGGTTCACAATTATTCGGGAATTGAAAAAAACATTTTAGAACCGTATTATACCCTTCCTTCAAGTAAAACATTCGAAGGAGACTTAATTCTCTACTAAATGCGTAAGAGGATAAATATTTTTATGCATTTTTTCTATGAAATATGTTTGTGTAGCAGTTCGCGTCTCCTCACCCTCCGCCTTTGTCATGCTGCCGTCCTGTCCGCCTCACACCATCTCGATACGCTGCTGGGCCGCGCGAGTGCTCGAAGACAATCAACGCTGTCCCCACTCTGATTGGCTGGCGACGCGGAGACAACGAAGGGCGCACACACGCGCTAACACAACACCTCGAAGGCGGACACAGGCAACAGCTGGCTTGGAGCGCGCTCGCGGCGACTGCCTACAGAGCCCTTGTGTACGCTCTTTCTCAGGCAGTAAAGGTTGTCCAACTCAAACCGCCTTCCCTGACTTTTGATTGGGAATCTTTATCTTGTCGACCACACGACTTTCGACATTTGAATTTATAAGGGCATCGAAAATCAACAAGAAAAATTATACTACTTGGGTAGTCATTTTTTGCAGAGTGTAGTTTTTGCGGGCGGCTGGAGAGAAGTTCATTCAAAAGCCGGCATCCCAAAGTAACTGAATTATCATAGGATTACGCTGCATGGTAATCGACATAACATTTCAGCATAATTAATCTTTTAGAGTCCAAAACACATTTCAGACGTCAGGTTAACATATAATGAGTTAGCACATCTACTGTATTTGCAGTTTACAGCAGTCTAACGCCCACAGTCGTTTGTTTCAACATTCGGAAAACCGATCTCTAAGGAGACTTCTACCAGAGATCTCGTAAGAGGTGAGATCTAGGTGCCTGCAAACTGTAGGATTCTCATACTACTGAATTCGGATATTCAGTCACCGTTAGCAGTAAACTAGACCGGCCTCCACACGGCCCATAATGACTGCACTGGTTTGCCGGTAGTTAATTCTGACTTGACTCTTGCGCCGGAGAGGTTTTGAAGGCATAGAACATTAACGATGAGCGGCCTATTCAAGACAAATCCATAAGACGAGTGTCAGTCCTGGTTAGGGCTTTTGACCTTACCAAAGACTCCTGCCCGTGCAACTTCAAATGCCAAATCCGTCTATGGGAGATTCTTTTGTCTTCTTCGGGGGAGTTTTTTTATTCAAACATTCCCGAAAGAGGCTGACAGGCAGACAGTTGAGAAGATGGGGGAGGCAGTTGTAGAGGCGGAACTGTCGACGCAGCACGCATAAGTTCGAAATCAGGCTGGCATTTCCATGTTCCCGACAATTTGTCCGCTCTTGTCTGACAAGTTGTTTACTGTTACTTCAGATGTCGACGTTTTTGACTCTGGCCGATACGGAGACGAAAAGGCGAGCTCCAGGAAGCAGCTCCGAGGAAGATGTGATCGCCGGAACAAGAAGTTTATTGGCCTGAATTTTCGGATTCTCACTCGTATCCATCATATGAGACGGTCTTAGTTTTTCCAAGCTCATCGGTTGCGTCGTGTATTTAAGACGTCAGCACGTTATCGGGGATCTGAGTAGTCCTCATAGGTGGAGAGCGCTAACATTGACGGATCCTCAAAACATGTGTAGGTGCAGTCTGCGACAGCTTTGTCAAATTTATGGTGTCCGAACGCGCTATCCGACCGGCTTCCCTTCGCACTGATGTTGGGGACGTTTAGGCATAAACGGAGCCTACGGTTGTTGGTGATCGAACTCGTGAAATATGCCTAAATTAACAGAAACTTACAAATTAATCTGAAACCAGCCCGACCGCATTCACCAGAATACCAAGCGAATGATGAACGATCTCAAGCTAGATCAAAACGCAAAGTAAGCATTAAAAGTACCATTTGGTTGATTAGAACGCAAAATGTTCTCAACAAATGGGATAAGATGTGGTTATGTAGCCCCACCTGATAAAGACAATACTATTGAAGTTTGGGTTGGGGGTTAGGATTAGGAGTTAGGGCCGGGGATTAGGGTTAGGGGTCACGATTAGGGATTAGAGCTAGGGGTTAGGATTAGGGGTTATAGCAATTATTTCTCAGCTGCTGAAAGTCAAGCCGCGAATTTCTAAAAGCTTTTCTTTGGCATACAACTAATTGACCTCGTCACCTGTGTGCTCCTCATCCCCGCTTGTAAAACCATCGGTCCATCCATCGGTCCATCTTACAGGTGGCTAAGGTTTGTTTACTTCAGGTGCGGCTACATAGCCACATCTGGCCAAAAATGGAAATTCATTGATATTTTGGCAGATTTTGAATAATTCATAGTGACCCAACTGTGAAAAACTCGGCGCCTCGGTGGGATTCGAACCCACGCAGTAAGGGGGAAGGCTTTAGTACAGCCAACTTACTGTATCAGATTTGGTGGATTCCAGACGTTGCAGTAGGTTGGGCGGGTAACTTGACCCAAGTGTGATAAAACTCGCGTCGTCCGGCGGGGCCTCGTAGCGCAGGTGGTTAGAGCGTTGGCTGTACTAAAGCCTTCCCCCTTACTGCGTGGGTTCGAATCCCACCGAGGCGTCGAGTTTTTCACAGTTGCGTCAATATGAATTACTAGAACTGTCAGTACCACCACCACAGGCACCACAGGCACCACAGGCACCACAGGCACCACCACCACCACCACCACCACCACCACCACCACCACCACCACCACCACCACCACCACCAGCCTGAGTGGTAGCAATTTTTGTAAAAAGGTGTACTGCAACGGGAAGTTGGGTACTGAGATAACGGTTTTACTATTTACGCAGCCCTCAGGTCGACTACATCGAGATCCTGTGCTAAGTTTTGATCAGCCTATCATTGAGTTACAAGCGCGGATTTAGTTAGTCTAACATGACTTGCGAGACTGGAGCCAAGGAATTCCGAACAGTTATATTGATGCCGTCCGCAAAAATGAGAAAAAAAACCAGTGAGTTTTTAATTAGTGCGAGTTGACCTTGATCACGCCAGATGATTGGTAGTTCCCAGTGACTGCCACAGCAACACCAAAGTTTACACGAAAGACGAACGACATGATTGAGGCGTAATTCGTTTTGCATGCATATGATTAAAAAAAACCGTTTTATGACCTCAAGCGAGTTATCGAAGAAGTGCTGTGATTGAGGTGACAAAAAAGAAAAAAACACGGGGAAACGAAAGTAAGAAAATTAAAAAAAGGTTTGACTGTTTCAGCTCAGGGAATCCTTTTGCATTCCAGGCAGGATTAAGATCAGATTTCCATTGGCTGCAGCAGTCCTTTACTTTGGTAATGTCATTCTGTTCTACAACCAGCTGTTCAGACGAGCGTTCCCTATGACAGAACTCGCGCTGACTTGATGCTGTCACTTGCCCGACAGTCCTCCGTGCAACACCTCTGCGCCTGTCGCATTCCTCCGCTGTGACTTCTGCCCCCTCCCCCATCCTAGGGCAGGCTTCGGCGTCCTCCACTAGTCTTGCCATTTTACTTCCATCCACCATCGTTTGGGGCCCTGTGATCCCCACATTCCACCCCATCGTCCGCCTGAAGGCAGTAAACAGTCTCCTCAGCAAAAAAAACAGTCAAGGCCAAATACCCGACTGGTTAACCTTTAGACGGTTCGCGCCCATTTAGCTCTAATTTTCCATTCTTCTCTGCCTCCTCCCGCGGCCGTCTTTTTCTTTTTCTTCTTCTTCTTCTTCTTCTTCTTCTTCTTCTTCTTCTTCTTCTCCTTATTCTTCCTATTCTTCCTATTCTTCTTCTTCCTCTGCATCATCATCATCATCATCATCATCATCATCATCATCATCATCATCATCATCATCATCATCATCATCATCATCATCATCATCATCATCATCATCATCATCATCATCATCATCATCATCATCATCATCATCATCATCATCATCATCATCATCATCATCACCACCACCACCACCACCATCCTCATCATTATCCTCATCATCAGCTTCTTCTTCTTCGTCAGACGTTTTGCGCTCACTGTCCGTGGTTTAGTGATTAGAACTGTTGGACTTCTAACCAACAGATCGCGAGTTGGAGCCCACGTGCTCTACACTTCGGGGTTGGGTTTCACTGTCTGACGACGGCTAATTAGCCGATAATGGTCATTCTAGTCTGCTTGTATGTCTATGGGAAGCAAATTAATATGGCTGATGTGTTGCACAGCTAATGGTTGGCCAATATTTCAATCGGAAACGATAAAGCGCCATCGGTGTACAACGCGAAAGCGGAGGAGGATTCCATCAACATCCAGTACGCAAGCTGACAATGTTTCACATAAAAAATTACAACAAAAACCCTAAAAGTCTGTTAGGGTTTATGCGAATGACCCATGATGAACTATGAGTGACCAAATAAGAACACGTTTTTTTCAGAAATTTCGCAGTGTTGGCGTGCACTGCTGGGAACAATAAAATTCCCCAGGTGGTCAGTTGCAAGTGAACCACTGGCAACGTTATTGTATGTATAATGTTCAGTATCATTTTCTCGTTTGTGGCCCATGTCCCTGTGAGAAATACAAAGAATTATTTTGCAGACAGCAAATGATGGTACAGTGGTCTCCGATTCTTGTGTTTTTGTCCAAATTTCAGATTCTTTGCTACTCAGTTAGCCAGGAGATTTGTGGATATCCACGCTCTTGCGGTGGGTTATTTTGTTAAGATATAAGGGATAGTTAATTTAATTACACCGATTTTGTCTTTGAATCACCACATGCATTGATTTAATCTGCTTTCATATGATCTAGGTTTGAAAAAGGAACACAACCGTATGGTTATGAGATATAAATTAAAACAAGGAGAAGAACTAATATCGTTTTATACGTGCAAATATCAGAAGAGTGGTCGGTTAGACCTGGTCTCCTACCGACATCACTGGTCCGTTAAGTATAACCCCTCAGTCGCTTGAATGATTAATATGCCAAAAGGCCGCAACAAGGCTGACTGTGGACAGATCGCAAGCCAGCCTAGGCATACGGCGCCTGATGCAACTTTATACTCAAAATATGTATTAACCTTGTAGGTTTGGATGGCTTCCGGGGTAAAAACAACGCGTGGCAAACCGCCTCGGCTGTAATGGAACTAAAGTGGCTTCTGAATTACAGGGGTTCACCGGAACAACAGGTATAGTGTAGCAGTTTCTCTCGATGTGTTTTCAATCTAAGCCGTCACAGTAGAGCATGTATTGGCGTACGCTTTACGCGGTTGTAGAGGCATTTACGTTCGCAGGTTTCGACAAAAATATTGCTTTTTGTTTGGCATTGTTTTGGGTAGCATGTACTTTGAATTGCGTGCATGAGCGAAGGAAAAAATGGGAGGAGAACTTAGATTAAGCCGTTTGTTGTGAAGGAAGCACTGTTGATTTAGACTGCAATATTCAATATATGTTAGTCTGCCTGCAGCTGTAGCCGTCCTCCATCTTCTGGGTAATACATAGTGTAAGATTTTAGAAAACCAATGGCGTTTGTAGCACTACACTGATCGAACCATTGTTTGAATTTTCACAGGATATGAATTAGCGCTCGAAAAGGTTATATTTCATCGACCGAAACAAACGCTAACCTGGCGAAACGATAGCTAGTGAATACGGCAGGTGGGGTGGGGCTTCTCAGAAAAACAATTTTGAAGTTTACTCCACTCCTTGTGTAATATGCTGCATAGCGTCTTCATGTTGATGAAGAACTTTGTCATATTCGCCATCATATTCTGTCGGTTATTTGGCTGAAAGTAACAAATTGCTATCGTTAACGTCCACCAGTAACGGTTTGAGATAGCTTCAGCAAGTCCGGCTACACCACTTCTTCTTGGTCCCGAGATTCGTACAGAATAATTTTATTTCATTGAATACTCAGCTTTAGCATCTGTGTTTATTGTCGACCGGACGTCGTTCGGGGTAAGTTTCCATAAGGATAGAGCAACAGATTCATTTTTGTCAAAAGTCATCCATATCGAAGGCAGTGGCTCCCTAAAATCATTGTCGTTGTCTCGATCATTTGGATCCGTTGTGGACAAACGCCATCAGAGACTTTGGGTGAAGTGTTCTTTTCGGGGTTTGGAGGTTCCGAATTAGAGAGATCTAAAATCATATGCAGAATCAGGGCAGAACACGGTCTGCTGTGCGGAGACCAGGTCGTGTGTGTGGCAAGCATGGACAGGGAAGGCGCTCTGCGCAGTTAGCCTACCACGCGCCCATGCACCAGCCCTTCCTGTGTGATTCCTATAAAATATGTTTGAATTTGTAAGGCCATTAAAAATCAATGTGAAAATAAATACTACTTGAGCAATCGTTTTTTACAAAGCGCGGCTTATACGGGAGGCTGCAAGGAAGTGCATTCAAAAGCCAACATCCTTGCGAGTCCAAAGTCTCATGAGGTGTTTAACCCCCCATAGTTGAAAGCGCATTTTATAATTTTGGCCGACATTTCACGAGATCGGTTACTCACCTCATGAAGAGCACTAACAAACGGACATATACAATGTTGTGTGAATGGGCATTGCCGATGACGGCTAATGAGTCAAAAACGGCCATTCCGGACTCCCTTGTCTTTGTCGGTACCATGCCAGTTACATTGAACAGTCTTAAAAAATCTCATAATTAGAAACTATTTAAAATCAAGATATGCCATTTCTTCGGGCAAGAAGTGTGAATACAGTGTGATTTTCTACCAAACGAGCAGGAGAAAGCATGTTTTGTGTATGTTTTCCATAAAATACATTTAAATTTATTAGACCGTAAAAAAGTGTGAAAACGTATACTACTTGAGTAGTCACTTTTGTTACCGAGTGCCGTTTATGCAGGAGGTTACAAGGAAGTGTTGGTGTTGGAAAATTCATTATCGTGCGGCATAATCCTGTAATATTTCGGAATCGCCAAAATGTCGCTTTTGAATGAACTTCTTTTCAATCTCCAGTAGACACCGTACTCGGTAAAAAATGACTACATATGTAGCATGCACTTTTCACACTGATTTTCGATGGTCTTATAAATTCAAACATATCTTATGAAAAACATGAACAAAAATATTCTTTCTTTCACTCGTCTGATAGAGAATCACGTCAACTTCATATTTTATGCTCGAAAAAAGAGCATAATTAGGGTTTTAAAAGTTGCCAATTATGAGATTTTTTAAGACCATGCAGTGTCCATTCGTACAGCATCGTACCCGTCCGTTCACCACTGCTCCTCATGAAATGCATAAAATAGTCCGCATCTATTTCAAATTTTTACGGACTCATTATGGTAACTTATTAAAGGCATGGAAGAATATATGATTTTCTTTCTGCAGAACACATGCACCTTGTGGATTAAAATCACTAAAAGCTAATGCAACGGCCTATCAGGCTCCAAATTAACCGGGAATAAGCTTTCCTAAAACCTAGTAATACTCATTTTTCAAGTATAAAATATTAATTTGACGTGATCCTCTATCGAACGAGTGAAAGAAAGCATATTTTGTACATGTTTTTTTTTTCATAAAATATATTTTAATTTATAAGACCACCGAAAATGAACGTGAAAAACACATGCTACATAAGTAGCCCTTTCTTACAGAGTGTGGTCTATGCATAAAGTCGAAAAGAAGTGAATTCAAAAGCCGACAACCTGGCGAGTCCGAAATATTACAGGATTACGTCGCGGGATAATCAAAATTACAACCTCACCCAAGTAATCCTTCCTAATCGAAGGCGCATTTCAGAATTTTGGCAAAATTTCATGCAATCAGTAACTGCAATGCGTAACCGACCTCATGAAATGTTGGCCGAAATTCCGAAATTCCTTTTTGACTAGGAAGGATTGCGTAGGTGGAGTTGAAATACTGACTGTCACGCGACATAATCCTCATCCAGGGTCGCATACCACGCGCACCCCTGCTCCCGCCCTTCCTGGGGAATGTGCATGTTTTTCTGGGCGTGAGAGGAGATAAAGAGAGAGAAATTGCGCGATGAGCAGGGCAATAACAACGTCTCCAGTCCCGACAGCTCGTGCTACCGCCCTTTAGCGTTCCTCAGAAAAAAGCACGTAGTAAATGTACGCAAGGCAGTTCTGGAGGGAATGGGAGTGGGGCGGCCCGTAGCGCCTCGACTGCATTCCTCTGATCAGCCTTTTGCCACCGGACGGGCGCGGTCGGAATCTGCAAAGTTGTCGGTGCGCCGTTCTGTTTTTTTTGCACAGCTGGAAGTCAGAGTTAAGTATTATTAAGTGGAGGCGCCGAAGACAAGTTTTTAAGGGCGGAAAAATTGGTCTATTTAGGGAGCCGCACATGAGATTCGCGCTGGGCGAGTTTTAGCGAGAAACAGATGGAAAGGAGCGTGATGTAAAAAAGAAAAAGAGGGATTTTTGAAATGTAAGATGCATGCGATCGATGCATGCCTCCAACCGGAGTTGATCACGGATTCATTTTTGGACCGGAGCACGGAGCTCGTGACCGATCTCATGAAATGTTGGCCCAATATCGGAAACTCGTTTTCGATTAGGAAGGATTACTTAGGTGGGATTGTAATATTCATTCTCAAACGGCCTAATCTTTTGATATTTCTGACCCGACAGAATGTCGGCTTTTGAATGCACTTCTTTTCGACCCCCTGTAGAAACCGCAGTCGATAACAATTAATTACATATGTAGCATGAATATTTTGCATTGATTTTCGATGGTCTACAACCGGTGTCAAGACAGAGTAAAGAAGACCGGAGGCGGGGGTGCAGGTAGATGGCGCGGTCGAGACCGCACCTTGACGCCCCACTATACACAACAAATAACCAGGTTTATAATCAACAACATCGAAAATGAGGGCGGGACGGCAGGGGTCCTAGTGTGCGCGACATCTGTCGGCAACCGAGTCTGCCACCGCACCCCGAATGTTGGCATTTTTTATGGTGCGCATATGACGGTTCGTAATAGCGCATATATGATAACGCTGGACATCATAAAATATGGCCTACGTGCTGGTTCAGCGCATCTACCGCGTGGCTCGTTTGGGATGCTCGCTCGTTTGTGGGGCATCCTACACACACACACACACACACACACACGCACACGCGATAATTCGACCGTTGATTTCGACGATGTCTACCGTGTGCCCCACAGCAGATGGTTGGAGCAGAGACGGTGACTTGCGCAGGGGTTTACAGTGCCAGTAGACTTGCGCCGCATCTACCTACACTCTCTCCTCCTCCCCCGCCTGAGCCTGGTGTCAAGACTGAGTCAAGAAGACCGGAGACGATGGAGGCCGCAGGTGGGTGGCTCGGACGGATCCTCACCTTGGCGCTCCACTCCGCGCCCCCTGGTCCACACAACAATGACCAGGATTTTAAACACAAAAAATGGGGTGATGGCAGTGGTCCCAGTTGTGCGACGACTGGCGACAACAGAGTCTGCTAACGCACACCCTAGATGTTGGCACTTTTTACTGCGTAAAGATAACGCATGCTAGAATCCGATGTGACCCCCGTGTTGTTCCAGCGAATCTAACACGCGGCCCGTTTGAGGGGCACAACGCAGACGCACACACAATGCGCGACCGGTCTCATGAAATTTTGGCCGAAATTCTGAAATGACTTTTTGATTAGGAAGGATTACGTGCGTGGATTTGAAATACTGATTGTCACGAGGCATAATCCTCATCCAGGGTCGCATACCACGCGCACCCCTGCTCCCGCCCTTCCTGGGGAATGTGCATGTTTTTCTGGGCGTGCGAGGAGAGAGAGAGAGAAATTGCGCTATGAGCAGGGCCATAACAATGTCTCCGGTCCCGACAGCTCGTGCTACCGCCCTTTAGCGTTCCTCAGAAAAAGCACGTAGTAAATGTACGCAAGGCAGTTCTGGAGGGGATGGGATTGGGGCGGTCCATGGTGCTTCGACTGCATTTCTCTGATCAGCCCTGCATCAGGGCACAGCCTTTTGCCACCGGACAGGCGCGGTCGGAATCTGCAAAGTTGTCTGTGCACCGTTCTTTTTTCTGCACAGCTGGAAGTCAGAGTTAAGTATTATTAAGTGGAGGCGCCGAAGACAAGTTTTTAAGGGCGGGAAAATTGGTCTATTTAGGGAGCCGGACATGACATTCGCGCTGGGCGAGTTTTAGCGAGAAACAGATGGAAAGGAGCGTGATGTAAAAAAGAAAAAGAGGGATTGTTGAAATGTAAGATGCATGCGATCGATGCATGCCTCCAACCGGATTTGATCACTGATTCATTTTTGGACCGGAGCACGGAGCTCGTGACCGCTCTCATGAAATGTTGGCCCAATATCTGAAACTCGTTTTCGATTAGGAAGGATTACTTAGGTGGGATTGTAATATTCATTCTCAAACGGCTTAATCTTTTGATATTTCTGACCCGACAGGATGTCGGCTTTTGAATGCACTTCTTTTCGACCTCCTATAGAAACCGCAGTCGATAACAATTAATTACATATGTAGCAGGAATATTTTACATTGATTTTCGATGGCCTAATAAATTCAAAAATATTCTATGGAAAAGATGTACAAAATATGCCTTCCCTTACTCGTTTGGTAGAAATTCACGTTTGCTTCGCACTTCATACCCGAAGAAAGTGTCTATCTAGGTTTTGGAAAAGTTCCCTAATTCCCGAATAATGTTGAGCGTGATCAGTCGTTGCATTAGTGTTTAGAGTTTTCAGTCTACGATGTGTATGCTTTCTGCGTAAGAAAAATCATGTATTCGTCTATGCCTCAAAGAAGATAGCACATAGAGTTCTAAAAATCTTGCAGTGGATGCGAACTATGTTATACATTTCATGGGGAGCATTGGTAACCGGACATGAGCCATGCTGTAATTATGATAGTGAGTTTTTGTTTAGTGGGTGAGTTTTAGTGAGTTTAGTGATTCTTAGTTTAGTGGTAGTATGCTTAGTGAGTTTTAGCGAGAAATGGATGGAAGAGGCGTGTTGTAAAAAAGAACAAAAAGAGGAATTGCTAAATGTAAGATGCATGCGATCAATGCATCACCCAAACAGTCAAAATCGCGGATTCAATCTTGGACCGGAGCACGGAGTGCATGAGGAGAAGTTCGTGGGCCTGGCGCCGATTCCTGTCAGGTGATCAAGCTTTGGAAACTGGAACGAGTCTTGCCTAAACGTAGAACACTTGTAGACGTTTCAGACTATTGCCGGTACAGAGCAGGCAGGTTTACCAAGCCTGCTGAATTTCACCATAGTTTTTTTAAATAGTTTTCGAACGTAGGTGGAACAAGCGAACTGACAGTCTTTAGCTTATTCACGTTACAGAGTCAATACCGAGTCCGCTACTTAGTTTGGGCTGGGCGCTCAGTCGTCCTACCACTGACTGGGGTGGGAGGAATAGAGAACGTGAGCTATCCATGAAATCTGATAACGGAAACTGATACGAGAATTGGTGGACATCTTTAACGTTGTGAATTTTGTTCGCTCATCCACATCCTTCAATGAGGCGTCCTTTTCTTGTTCAGAAATTGTGTTTACGTAATTGTACCAAGTAAAATATTATTACGTTTTGGCGGAAATAGACGTTGGAATATATTTGGGCAATTTCCTATGCTAACACATGCCCTAGACTCCGGTTACG